TGTGACTGGAGTTCAGACGTGTCCCCCCCCCCCCCCCCCCCCCGCCTCCAAAAAGCACACACAGTCCTTGAGACTCCTGACCTGAGGTAGGACACAGTATACCTTACTGGTATTTTTGGCAGCTTCTCTCCATTATCCAAGCAGTAGGCAAAGGGCCAGAAGAGGGAAGTCAGCTTCTATATAAATACATATGGAATTTTTTTTTCAATTTGTGATAAATTTCTTATGGCATGAGGAAATGGGATCTTGTACTTGAGTCTGCAGGGGAATTCTTTAGCTGGATGGGGCATTCTGGGACCAGGGATGGAGGAGCTGAGTCTTCCTGAATTCTCTTGCCCTCTGGCTTTGATAGGCTCATACAGTTATACCTGGAGAGGAACACAGTGTGGTGAGAAGAACATGAATCTTGGAACTAAGTAGACCTGGATTTGAAACTTAGGAGTAATGTGACTTTGGGCAAGGCATTTTGTTAATTTGAACCTCTGTTTTTACCTTAAAATGTGAATTTAATAGCTACCATTTAAGGGTGTTGACAAAATGAGAGGTGGTAATATATTTAAAACCTCTCAGATAGTAGGAAGTAATGGGGTGTTGCCTTTTGAGAGCATCTATGTAAGTGTCTCCCAGACCGGGGGTCATGTCCTGGTTCTGCCATTTAGAGCTGTATGAACTTCAAATCTTCAGTTTCTTTTGTTTAATAAAAATAGATCCCTTAGTATACATTTTCAGGAAAAGGACACAAAGTTTAATACAAATGACTTGGCTGATCTTGATCGATGTTAATTGGAGTTGTTCCTGGTTATTTCCCTCAATATAGCATGGAATTCAGGTAGTCTTGTAAAACTTCATAGTAACTATGTTCATAATACTCACTGGTGACTTTTAGAGAATTATTCATGTTGATGGTGGATAGGGTCTGCCTAACTAGAGAAAGGGCTTAAGTAAAAAAAAAAAAAAAATTAGCTGTGTAAATATAGGTTGGAAACACTCACCTTCATAACATCAGCTTTATAACATTTTGTGTGATGTGGTTTGCAGTATTGGATGTAAACCTTAGCATGCTCAGAATTGTGCACAGCCCAGAGACTGTCTGTATTGCTGGATGCTATATTGAAGAGGGAAACCAGTTCATTTTACTATAGCTAGGGCATGTTGACCAACATGGGGAAGGATCTGGGAAGAGGAATAAGGCAGAGAATTTATGTCCCAGAGGGCCTTGTTGTCTAGGTGGGGTTCTGGAGTCTAAGGAAGGTCGTAGGGATGTTCAGTCTGACAAAAAACTCAGTAGTGAATGTCCTTGCTGTTTTCAACTATTTGCAGGATGATGAACAGACTTTTCTGGGAGCCAAGAGAGTTCATTGGCTGAGTACTTGGCTGAGATCCAAGAAGAAGGGGAAAACTTCTGCTTATAAGTCTGGCTCATGATTTTTTTTTTTTTTTATCAGCCAGTCATATAGTTGCCCCCTCCCCCAAATCCACAGAAGACCTTCAAGCACTTGAGGCCTGAAGAAAGAGGACTGGTCAGGGGTAGTGAGCTTATTCCACTGTTGTTTACATGATCACCTCCAGTGCCCTTCTCCCTGCCAGCACAGCAGGGCTCTTACTTGCTCATAGCCTCAAACTGCTGCTCCCCTCACCATAACCAGCTGGCCAGGAAGTAAAGCAACACCTGGTATACTTGACTAAAGTGTTGCTTAAGCTTTAATATGCACATGAATCATCTGGGGGTTTTATTAAAATGGAGATTGATTCACACAGGTCTTGGATGGGGCCACACAATCTGAATTTCCACAGGTGGTGATGATGCTGGTCTGTGGTTCATAATTTGAATAAACAAGCCTCCGCTGCAAATCATGACTCTTCCCTCCAGGCTGTCTCCAGGTGTCATCAGGCCAGATGACCACCTTCTACGTTTTCTGTGCTCTGAGGACTAAGTCCCACACCTCTGCTAGCAGAGGGTTACTGTCTGGAAATACTGCCTTGTTCCCCTCCCAGCACCCATGAAGCGATCTTACCCAGATAGAATTTAGCCATCCAGTCTCCTTTTCATGTCTAGGAGTACTTCAGCAGTTATCTAATGTATTTAAAACAAACAAAAACATGGTCTTGACTTCATCTAAGCTGTTGGAAATCTAGCACTTCCTGAATGTGTGCATTATGGCTTCGGAAACCTTACCCTAAGACCTAAGTATCCATTTGCCTAACAATCAGGCAGATTTCTTCTTTGAGCTGAATGTGGAGATTACTGCCTCCCTTTGTCTTTCTTTCTTGATTCTATCAGGTGGTCTATAGAAGCATTTCTTTTTTTTTTTTTTTTTAATATTTTTATTTATTTCTAGGAGAGAGAGAGAGACAGCATGAGCAGGGGAGGGTCAGAGAGAGAGGGAGACACAGACTCTGAAATAGGCTGTCAGCACAGAGCCCTATGCGGGGCTCGGACCCACGAACCACGAGATCATGACCCAAGCGAAAGTCCAGTGCTTAACCGACTAAGCCACCCAGGCGCCCCCTATAGAAGCATTTCTAATTGTCTTTGATATCCTTTTAAAGGGTGTGTCCCTTCCTGCAGGTGTAGCTTGTTGGTCAAAATGAAGTAATTGAGAGATTTCTCATGATGATCTTGGTGAGGTCTCTTATACAAAAATCATGCTGCTTTTCTATTTAGAAACTGATCTTGGTAAATATTAAGTAAGATACTTAATATCTCTCATCACATGTGAACTCCTCTGCAAAATAGAGATAAAAATACCAACCTTGACGAAATTAAATGAGATGATGTTGATGAAAGCAGTTGGTCCATTCCTGGCATATGAAGTGAGATGACAGCTTCCTTTGCCTTCCATTTATTTCTAACTTTTTGTATGAGGGACAGATTTAATTTCTTTTTTTTTTTTTTTTTTTTGTTAGTCTGAAAGCATCTTCAGGATAGGATCTATATTTTATTTTATTTTATTTTTACAAATAGTTTATTGTCAAATTAGTTTCTACATAACACTCAGTGCTCATCTCCAAAGTGCCCTCCTCCATGCCCACCCCCCCCACCCCCCCACAACCATCAGTCCTCAGTTTTTGTCAGCATTCAAGAGTCTCTCATGGTTTGCCTCTCTCCCTTTCCCCCACCATTTCCCCCCTTCTTCTCCCCCTTGTTCCTCCGTCAAGTTCCTCCTAATCCTCCTATACGTGCACACATATGATATTTGTCCTTCTCTGCCTGACTTATTTCGCTCAGCAGAACACCCTCAAGGTCCATCCATGTTGATACACATGGCCAGATTTCATTATTTCTCATTGCCATGTAGTATTCCATGGTATAGATAAACCACATCTTCTTGATCCATTCATAGGATCTATATTTTAAATTATTAGCCCTTTCCTGTGTGTTCAGTAATGAAATGTTGAGCAAGTTAATGAATGGCCAGACAATCTCTAAGGTCTTCCTGACCTTTTAAATTCTGATTCTGATTCTTTCGATGTTCTAGCTGCTTAGAAGCAATTTGGAAAATTCCCTTAAAATGAATGTCTTCCATATTAAGGATTTTCTTTTTTGCAGTCTTATAAAAATGTGTATTGTATTATTACTAATAAGTACGTACCTGGGCCCAGGGGCTGGCTGCAATAGTAAAAGTAGCCTCTTGAATTTACGACCTTGGGCCTGATTCTTTGTCTAGTATGAATTAGGTAGGTCAGAATCTAGTCTTCCCTAGCACTGCTCTCTTGGGAGGATCCCTGTGAAAAATGAGCAAGAAATATGCATATGTTATTGTCACATGATTTGGGAGTCTCTTGCACTAGAGGTTGACTTTCATGATCTGTTCATTTCAGTGCTCATAGATGTTTTTTTGTGTTTTAGATTAAATTATGATCTGGCTAGTGGGGTCAGGCCAACTCAGCTAATTAGAGGAGAAGCAGTAGGTCCTTTTGAATATAGGGATGGTACCTGGCTACCGACATCGGCACGTATTTCTTGAGCTATCTGTACAAATGAATTGCTGAGAGACAGTGCCAGTTGAGGCCATCTTTACTACTGTCATTGTGCCTCTGAGATGGACAGCAAGCTGGTAGAAAATGCATGGGATGTCAGATTTAGACCCAAGTTTAAATCATGGCTGGGGTGTATTCCAGAACTTCAGTTTCTAGGGATAATATCAGCCTTTTAGGTTTGTCAGGGTGATGAGTTAGATGGTATATGTTAAATGCCTAGTGCAATGCCTAGTGATGAAATCGGGCTTGATTTCATGATGATCCATTCCAGAACAGGTTTAGACTCAAAGTATCCCCCCTGGAGCACGACTGGAAAGAGTGTCTCAAACTTGACGGCTCCATTTTGTGACAAAAGTGCACACTGTAGTGGTGATGCTGAGTTTTTCATGGATCTGGAAAATGTGGCAACAATCTGGGGAGAGAAAAGACTCAATTGCATGTTTTGTGACATGATAATTTGAAATACGGGTCCATATGTGAGTAGCTTCAACTATTCCTCCCCTACTCATTATATAGAAACTATTGTCCACTTAAAGCTGTTTGTCCAGGGGGAAATGTGTTTAGTAAAGTTTTCTTATCTCAGTTTATTTCAGTTCCTGATGTCCAACATGATTTCTGGTTTTCTTTAATTCTTGAAAAAGTAGAAGAACCAGGAATAAAAAGAAGCATCATTAAGCCCATTCCATGTGATTGGTCTTTTTAGACAGTAGAGGGTTCTGAACTGTACTTTTAAGTGTTGGAGAGATCTTGTACCAAGCTTGGCTAATTAGCTTGTGGCCTGTCAGTTCAGAATGGATCAGTCTCTGCATTAGAGGCTCAGGGTGTCACCATGAGGTTCTCCAGTGATAGGTGACTTGGATTCCATGCAGCACAAGTGATTTTTGTTTAGTAGATCTTTGTGTCCTGTTTAGCTAATTTTAGATTCTGAGAAGCTGGGTAGTGAATTTGTGCGTAGTGAGGATTGATGACTATGGGATCCAGAAGTAAAATCAAACACATTTTTGTTACTTTCCATACAGCTATTTTGAACTAGAGAGCAGTGGCCTGAGGGATGAGATCCGCTATCACTATATACATAACGGGAAGCCCAGAAGTGAGGCACTTCCCTACCGGATGGCAGATGGACAGTGGCACAAGGTCGCTTTGTCAATTAGCGCCTCTCATCTCCTGCTCCACGTCGACTGCAACAGGTATGTGCTTTTGTTCCTTTGTGATTCTGTCCTTGAAATCAAGCAGTGGGAAAGGGAAAAAGATCAACCCCCTCCAGGCCTTGCTGGGAAATAAAAACCAAGGGACCCTAATTGTAATTTAATCTACCAAATGGGCCATTAGATGTGCTGAAATGACCAACTATAATATGCTAAGAAAACAGTTCATTAAGATGAAACTGTATCCTGTGATTAGGAACAAATGTACAAAAGGTTGATTACAGATTGGGGAATATTAAGTGCACCTCCGTGTACTCCAGGCACCAGCTGAAATTCCATGGAGCTGTGATCACAGTTAACTGTGATATATTGTTGTTGAGTTCGTTCCAGTTGGAGGCGAATAAGCCATTCTACCATCGAATGAATCTGAGAAGCCTGTGCCACTGAAGCAGCTAATTCTATTTCACTTCATCAAGCACAACTTTGCTTAAATATCTTTTTCCAAATGGAGGCTTCCCAAAGAGTCTGTGCTTTGAATCTTTTGGAATTAATGCCACCCATCCTCTGCAGAGGAATGAGGCCTTTCAGTTTGCTAGAGGATGGCAAGACTTTGTGAGATGGAGGGGGTTTCATCAGGCATTGTACGCTGGGGTGGGAAGGAGATCTTGTCCCCCTGTATGTCACTGGAGTCAGTTTACTTCCAGCTGAAGAAAGACTGCTGGTCCCTGTCAGATCATTTGTGGCTGGACAGCTAGTGAATGGTGGTCAAGGGGAATGTTTTGATCTCTCTAGAATCCACTGAAAATCCTTGTGGGTAGTGATCTGACAGAGAATATTTTTGCACTGTAAGCAGTGCCCATGAATTGTTGCTTATTGTTAATGATACCAAAAGTTAAAATGACTGTTCAGCCACAGGGCTTGTTCCCTTAGGCCCAGGGTAAGGAAAAGGCATGTTGGGAACAGCCTACCTTCTGGGACCAAATAGGAAGAATAATCCAAGGTTAATCAGTTCTGGACTACAGTTCTAATGAAGGAGTATTTGAATGTGCTTGTAATTACAGCTCTGCAGTCTGTTTTGGAAGAGGACCTGGAAGGGAAGAGAACAAATTAATGTCAGGCTTAAGGAAGGTTCTGCCATCTTGAATTAGTCTTGGTCTATTTTGATTTATTTAAGATGTTTGGGGACTTGAAGAATTGTGGCTCCAACCAGATTATAAATATGCCTGGACAAGTTTTCCATAGAAACCATTTGTTCCTTTTGACCCTGTTGTCCTAACTTGGGCAGCCTGGATAAAGCCAGCCCTCAACCATCATCATGTCCATTTCTACCTTCAAGAGCTCATTGGCGGGATGCTTGGGTGGCTCATTCAGTGTTAAGCATCTGGCTTCGGCTCAGGTCATGATCTCATGGTTTGGTTTGGCTTCAAACCCTGCATTGGGCTCTGTGCTGATAGCTCAGAGCCTAGAACCTGCTTCAGATTCTGTGTCTCCTTTTCTCCTCATGCCCTGTCTCAGTCTCTCAAAAACGAATAAACGTTAAAAAATAAATAAATAAAAAGAGCTCATTGGCTATTTCAGTTTTCTAGAACTCGAGTTAGATAGCATTCTTGTTGCCCAATGCGCCCCCCCGACCTGTACTGCTGCCCAAATGGGTGAGCAGAAGGGCCCTGCATGTCCTATGCCACAGGTCAGAAATAGGCCACAAAGCTCTAGTTTAGTAATTACCACCTGAAAAGTCTGGGAGACATTGCTCGTTTCTTGCTATGAAAGTTTTTGCTTCCTACTTCCAAAAGTTTTATCTTTTTTTTCTAGCATTCTGTCTAGAGAGGAAAAAGAGGAAATGATAGGTCTTTGCTAATCTAAGGTTTCACACCTTCACAGATACTCTGGTTCCTATGAAATACTATTTTCTGACATCCTTAATCACTTGCCTGATCTGAATTTGGGGAAGTTAATTTCTTTGCCTCTCCATTTTTGAATTTGTAAACTAGGATAATACCTATTCATAGAAGGGAGTGCTAAATGAGATAATCCATATAAGGTGTTCTGAGTGGTGCTTCATCTTTGATGCTCAACATGATGTTTTTTGTGGATTCTGCACGTGAATGGTACCTTTAGTTTCTAAACTTTCAGCCACTGTATGTCCTTCTTGGCTACCTTGTCCCTTTTAATAGGAAAGTGGATAGGGGATGGGAGAGCTAGAGCCCACAATGTTCTAATAGGGTCAGCCTCATTAATTAATCAATTAATTAATTTTCTTTTAGGGTCAGCCTTATATATAAAGAAGGGTTTGGGGGGGAATCTGAATATTCCTTTCCTTCTCTTGAAAATTTTCATACTTTGGTTCATGACCTAACATGTCCTTTATGTAAGATCTTGGAGAAGGAATGTAAAGTTGTTGCCTGTTAATGATTCATGGGCCCAAGCACAAATGAAGTTTTTGATAGATAAGGTCATAGGAGAGGTAAAAATTGGTTTTTGGTGTAATTCCCAAACCTGATGGCATCTAAGAATTACTGAGGAACTTATAAAAAAGATGGAGTTACTAGCTCTGTCATTGTTCTGCTGGATCAGATTCCCTGAGGGTGGAAGCTTCTAAAAAGCTATGTTTTTAACAAGCTTTCCATGTAGTTCTTATGCAGGTGGTCTAGCTTTGGTACATGGAGTGGTATTTCAAAACCACTGGTTTAGGTGGACGGGGAGAAACCTGGAGAAGAGGCTAGACTGCATTGAATACATGAGAGACCCTGGAAAACCGAGTACCTGCAACAGAGCCCTCAGAAAAGAAGAAAAGATTATGGAAAGAGGGTGAATAACACAGGCTTACCTTCATTACAAATTTCTTTTAGCCAGCACTGGCTGATTCTAGAGTGGCAAAGGCTCTGGTCCATTTATGATACTGGTCTACTACTTCTATAGGCTATTCTCACAGAGAGTGAAGGTCACAAAGGCTGATTTTTACTCCTTAAACTATTCATTTCATACTACTGAGATTCTTTTGGGTTGTTCTTCCCCCTTTGAGTTACACTTTTTTCTCAACCTGCCACCCACTAGAGTTCTGCTGGTTAAGTGACAAACAGTGATGTGGTAACATTTATTGAGTGTTGACTTGTGCCAGGCACAGTGCTAAACTTTTATGTAGATTAATTCATCCCATACTCATGCTATTTTTCTCGTTTTTTTTTTTTTTTAATGTTTTATTTATTTCTAGGAGAGAGAGAGAGAGAGACAGCATGAGCTGGGGAGGGTCAGAGAGAGAGGGAGACACAGAATCTGAAGCAGGCTCCAGGCTCTGAGCTGGCAGTCAGCACAGAGCCCGACGCGGGGCTCGAACCCATGAACTGCGAGATCATGACCTAAGCAAAAGTCAGACGCTTAACCGACTAAGCCACCCAGGCGCCCCTCTTTCTCGTTTTAAAATGATAGACCAGAGATGACATTATATGTCTGCAGTCCTGCTTCCAATAAGTGGTTGTACTGGGATTTAGTCCCAAGTCTGATTCATGAGTGCTTTAACTGCTAGGTCATTCAGTCCAACACGGGGGACCATTCTACTGGACTAGGAAGCTGAGGGAAGTCCAGAGCCTGGTTTAGTGTGAGCAATTTGCTCTTTTCTGGTATTTTCCTCCTATGTATCTTACATTACTGATATTGGAGCTGTTTGGTAAAATGTAGAATCTTACTAATGGAACTTTTGGCATTGGCATGGGTGAAGGGACATAAGTTTATGGAATGTCTACTACAGACCGAGTAACATGCTGGGCATAATGTTTCTTAGGATAGTAATATGGGGACAATTTATTAGACCTGTTTTTACAGATCTGTAATTAGAAAGGCTCAGAGATAAATAACTTAAAACTTTGAACCAAGATTTAACTCCTAAGCCTTAGTCTTTTTATCCCTCCACACTGGCTCTGTAAAGTGTTAATGACCTGTACTTCCCAGTACAGAGTCCCAATCACATTAGGGAGTCTTTTGAGGGGAGAAATGGTCCAGAATTTTCTAGGACCACAAAGACATTTGAAAAAGGAATATTTCCCTGGCAGTTTCATTACTCTGAGGAACTGGTATGTGGTGAGATTTTCCACCCTTTTTAGATTAGAATTGAGAAACTGTCTTTTCAGACCTAATTACGCTATTTTAGTTGGTGGTTTAACACTTCCTGCTTGCTACAGAGATTTAGAGTTTTCTTCCTGCTTTAGCTGTTTAGCTGGGCCTACTTTTAGAAGCTCCCAAAGTATGGGTAGCAGATTACCTCAAGCTAGAAACAGAAAAGGAACCATTCAGTTGGACGACTAGCCTGATTATCTCCATTGCCTTGGGTTTTTCTCCAGCTGCCTTTATATTAATAGCTGCCAACAAAGACCAGAATGAGGCCTGTTCTAACCTTCCTCAGATTCTCTAATTCCATTCTTCATTCACCCTGTGGCCTGTTCCCGTTACTCAGAGCCCCGAATTCACTGACATCTGGGATTTAGTGCGTAAGCATTCTGTTCACCACAAAAGACTTTCCTCCCCTTTGTTTGGTAACTTTTAACTTTCAACCTAGCAAATTAGTGTACTGGACACTCTCTGCCAGGCTGGCTGAAAGAAATATGAGTCCTTGCCATTGAAAGTTGATGGCTTATTCACTCACTTTTAATTCTGAAACAACTGAGGCCCCCCACAGTGATTGGACCCGGGCCCCAGATATCAGAGAAAGCATAGACTTGGACTAAAGCCCTATTAGCAGGCTGCTTTGACAACTCCTAATAGCAGCTGAGCAGTGGAGAGAACTGAAAGTATTCAGTCCTAGCATCTTGGTCTTGAAATGACTGGAGCTGAACTTCTCAACAGCTAAGGGACAGACTCAAATGTGTTCATTATTTCAATGGTACATTCATCCAGCCTTTGGCCAACATTTTGTGCCATAGGCAGGTGTCCCTACTCTAAGCCAACCTCCTGTTGCCTCACTGCTGGAAAAATTTCTCTTATGCAGATGTATTGCAACAGAGCTCTGAACCCTCCCCTCATTTGTTCAGACTTGTACAAGTGTGCACACA